CCAGCAAGCGGGCCTCGAGGTGGGATGTGCACACAGGTGCGGTGGACTTTAGCACCTGCTTCCTCATCGGCATGGCGCGCTTCCTCCTGGGAGGTCCTGTGGGACCTTGAGCCAGGAGCCGTGGAGAGAGAGCAGAAAATACTCTTGTCCTGTCCTTTGCTGAGGACGCACGTGGGATTGGATGTCCTGTGATACCCTCCAGTCACTTTTCTTTCTGTACAACTTTGTTTTTGTGGTACTGCGGATTGAACCCCGGGCTTTTGCACTGAGCTACATCCCCAGCTCCTGTTTATTTTTATTATTATTTCAAAACTTTGAGACAAGGTCTCGCTAAGTCACTAAGCTGGGCTGGAACTTTTGATCCTCCTGCCTCAGCCTCCCAGAGTACTGGATTATAGGTGTGTACCCACATGGTCCCACTCTATACACAACTTCCTACTTGCTTGTTTCCTTCCTTCTTTCCACTTACCTCTTGGCTACAAAGCCTCGTGGTCCAGGCAAATTTGGGGCATGGCCGTGGTAGGTACACAATGTGACCTAAGAAGGACTGACAGGGGCCGTGTGCCGCATTCCCAGAGAGCTTCCATCAGCAGGGGAAGTGGAGGCCATAAGCTGGATGAGACGCGCAGGGGTAAGATTTCTGGTAAAACAGCAGCCCCTGGGCTCCTCCCTGCCTTCAAGAATAGCCCAGGACGCCTCACCGTGGGACCTGGGCGGGTGTGCAAACCGAAGGCGCCTAATAGGTGCTGGGGGGGCTCTGCCAAAGCAGCTCACTAGGAGGGCGTTGGCTGAACTCCCCTGCTCTCGCTCTCGCCGCCACACCCAGATCCTAGAGAAAGACCACAGAAGGGGGTGACGTCCACCCCATTCGACATTTTTCAGCTGTGTGATCTTGGAGTCACTTTGGCTCCCTCAGCTTTCATTCTGTCTTCCGTGACTGAGACTTGGTAACTATGTCACGATGGCCTCAGAGGCTGTGTGGATCAAAAGAGACTGTGAAAATGAAAGTTCTTTGTGACCCAAAACCGTGCGCCCCTCGGAGGGCGGTATTATCTGCATCCTCGCACCCCGTCTTCCCGGGGACTTTTGTTTACAGCTTCTTTGATGCCTCTCAGGAAATTCCTGGCTGTCCCGATGCTCAGGTGTCGCTGTCTGTCTCTGGGTTTTAAGACACACGCAGATTCTCCTCGAAACACTCCTGTCTCTCTGGGGCCTCCACTTTTTACCAGCATCTGTCAAGTGAGTGTACAGTGTGCCTAGGACCAGGAAGCCCTAACCGAATCCCTTTATCTCTTTGGAGAAGGGGTCAAATTACAGGTTCTGTGTGGAAGGAAGACTTTGGTTCCTTTTCTCCCTGAGGCTAAATCTCAGACCACTGAATCCTCCGCAGGGCTGTGTGGCAGAGCTGACCACGGCCTCCAGGCCCAGGACGTCAAGCGCGAAGTCGCAGCTCCGTGATTTATGAATAGGAACCACAGCTCCTTTCCAGGAACGCAGAGAGAAGGGCGGTGGGAGGAAGGGGCCCGGATGTATGGGAGGGGGCTGCAGACTGGCAGGAAGCAGAGAGAGGGCAAGGAGGGCCTTGACGAAAGGAGAAAGGAATTCTGAGGGTGGCGCAGGCCTTTTTAGGCTGGGAACTGAAGATCATTAAGTGCTTGGCAAGCAAGGTCAGCTGCTTGATCCTGCCCTAACCACTCCTCATTCCGTGAATGCGTCTCCTCTCTGAGTATTCTTCCTTCAGACCTCATGTGGGAAAAGCCAGTTATTTCCTTGGCAACAGCACTGAAGGTGAGAGGCAAGTCTAGGAGAGGGAACATTTTTCTTCTGCCTCCCAGGCTCTCTGTCCAGGACTTGCATATCAAACCAGCAAAAGAACAACAGGAGAAAATGTTTATTTTTCGGGCAGACAGAGGTTTCATAATAAGTAAATAATAAGTAAAAACTTAAAGTGGCTAGGCCCTGGGCGCTTTATCACTTTCCTTGTGGCTGAGACATAAATCCCAAACCCACACTGTAAAGGGAGAGAGGTCTATTTTGGCTCTCAGTTAGGGTCCATGGCTGTGAGGCCGAGGGGCCTGGCAGAGAAGAGCTGCTCACTCCTGGTGGCCAGGAAGGGAGGAGGGAAGAAGCTAGAGCCTTCCAGGCCACTTCCCCCGGCCCATCTGTAATAGGGACGCTGTTTAGCCTCCATGGTCCCCTTCCAAACACACAGGCCACTTTATTTTATTTTATTTATTTATTAATTTATTTATTTGGTGCCAGGGATTGAACTTGGGAGCTTGCAGTTGCAAGGCAGGCAGCAAACTGCTGAGCTAAATCCCCAGCTGGGGATTTTACCTATAAGAGGCTTATATACCACTTCAACAAAGGCTAATCCTTTGGAAGAGAAATAACTATGTAAAGGAAAATGTATTTGGAGCTGGGTGTGGTGGCGCACGCCTGTAATCCCAGCACTCAGAAGGCTGAGGCAGGAGGATTTCTGTGAGTTCAAGGCTAGCCTGGGCTACATAGTGAGTTCCAGGTCAGTATCAACTACACAGTGAGACCCTGTCTCAAATAGCCAAAAAAAAAAAAAAAAAGAGGGAAAATGTATTTGGGTTTCTAGGGGTGGAAAGATAAACGTGGGAAACAGAGAAGAATAATTTCCTTTGGCATGTTCTGCAGAGTCAAGTTGGTCTCTAGGGAGAAGAGCTGCGTCTATGATTTAAGAATCAATCTCTAGTACAAGAGAAGGAAATCTATGTCCAAAGGAAAGTGGATGTTACCTTTACAAAGAGAAATGGACGTATGCTCTGCACTTTTGGTCTTTTTTTTTTTTTTTTCTTAATTTAAGACTGATCCCAAGATGTCCCACTGGGCTACATCCCTGGCCCCTTTTTGATGTTTTATTTTCAAATCAGAGTCTCACGCAGTTGTTAAACTGCCCAGGCTGGGCTCAAACTTGGATCCTCCTGCCTCAGCCTCCCAGAGTGCTGGGATATCAGGAGTGTGTCACCACCCCCCACCACTTTCACCTTTTGGGTCACTTCACAAAGATGCTTTGCTTCCATTCAAGTGTCTGCGTCTCCCTTGCACTGTGGGGAAGCGCCCAGGGTTTTGGGCTCTGTGTGTGGCCACTTGGTAAGAAGGGCACTAATTCAGCCGGAGAGTGTAAACCTCCTCAGCTTAATGATGTGTCACACTCTGAAGGCCTGAAAGAAAAAAGTGTCAAAATGTTTTAGAATCAGGGCAGGATTTAAAGGCTTCTAACCCAAGCTTTCCTGATCCCCCAACACATACAAGGGACCAGAGTGCCGGGGATGGGGCGGCCATGCAGGTGGGCAGACGGGGACCCGCTGCACTGCTGTCTCAGGGACCTTAGGGACCAGCAGGTGAGTGGCTCTGGGGTTGGGGTGAAGAGACAGGGGCCCCTTCAAGTGGTGAAAAGGAGGGAAACCATTCCTCCGGGCAGATGCAAGTCAGCCTGGCTGTTGAGAAATAGGCACGGGCCATTGTCTGTGTGAATACAGCAAACCTCGCCATGTCACAGATGGGAAAGCAGGCAGGGGAGCCACTCCTAAAACATTCTTGGTCCAGAGTCTGAACCTAGGCAGCCTGGCCCTGTCTCCATGGCTTTAATTACCTGAGTTATCCCAGACTATACTTCATTTTGCTAAGGATATTATTGGATTTTTTTTTTTTTTGGGTCTTTTGCGAAAGGATGTCTCAAGCTGGGCATGGTGGCGCACGCCTGTAATCCTAGCACTCAGGAGGCTGAGGCAAAAGGATTGCCACAAGTTCAAAGCCAGCCTAGACTACACAGTGAGTTTAAACCCAGCCTGAACTACATAGCAAGACCCTGTTTCAAAGAACAAACAAACAAGCAAAATGCTCCTGAGAAAGGATCTGTCTGGGTAGCCTCGTCTGGCCTCGAACTCGTGGAAATCCTCCTGCTTCAGTCTCCAGTGTGCCACCATGCCTGGCTTTACTTTCTCAATTGAGCTTTGTAACAGCTCAGATAAGGAATGCATTATTATCCCATTTTACAAATAGGACAATGAAGTTCAGAGAATTTCCAAAGGGAAAAGAGATTCTTTACTACCTGGATTTCCCGGCTCTTGATTCCACATTCTTTTGCTACATTCTGTTTGTTGGTTTGGCTTTGATTTTTTTGAGAAAGCGTCTCAGTATGTAATTGCGACTGACCTGGAACTCACTATGTAGCCCAGGCTGATCTAGAACTCACAGGGATCCTCCTGCCTCAGCCTCCTGAGTGCTGGGATTACAGGCATGTGCCACCACGCCTGGCTTTTTGCTACATTCTGTATGGATAGCTACATAGATGTATGCATGTGTCACCAATATTTTTAAATTTTGGTTTAAAAATATTACTATGAAATGCAGTTTGCTGGATATAGCATGGGTTTCCGTTAATGTTTTGTCATGTTTTCTGGGTATAACAGGCCCAGTCTCTGGGGACTTACTGGTGACACAGGCTTTGGGAAGACTTGGCGTTGCTGCCATCAAGCTCTGGGAAACAAATTTTCCCGCTCTGTTTATTTTATATGCTTATAGGATCAGTTCCTCAAACTGGAAGACTCATTCATTTCTGCCCCTGCTGGGACCTTTATGAAATTTCCCCAGTGAGGAAACTGCTTTGGCTTTGGAGCTTTCTTACACACCATTCTCAATGGCAAAAAAAGAAATCCCCACTGAGGAAACCCGCGGGCTGAGGTGAACAATTGCCTGCAGGGCCCAGCACTTGAGTGACTAAGCCCCAAAAGGTGTGTTTGAAATGCAACCTTGGAATAGGAGCTGGAGATTTCCTGTAGGCTTCCTCAGTCTGTGCTATTTCTGCACATCCTCTCCAGCTTTCTCCACTCAGATTCACTAAGGAGCTGGAAGACTCAACATTCAAAAACAAAGCATCTTCTTGCGAACAGAAAAGGTAACTGTATTGTTTCCCAGCTAGAATCATCTTGGTCACTCACAGATCTCTCTTCTCACCCCCTGAATTCTAGGGATGCTCATATCTCCTTCCGGTTCTCACATCCACTGACACAGCCCTGAAGAAACAAGCAAACCAACAAAAGTCCCAGGGGCCACGAAATTCTCTCCTAACTTCGTGTTGTCTCAGAGGTCTTCTGGAGGCGGTGCTCATCTCCAACCCATGGAGGGCGTCCAAGGGAACTCCCGGAGGTTCAGGAAATGCTGTCTCAGCGGCTGAAGAATTATCCTAATTTAGGCTTGTGGAGTGTTTCTAAATTGGAGTGATTTATACATTGTCTCGTCACCAGCAAAGGGCATATTCCTCTGACACATGACGCCTCTTGACCCAGAATAAGTGACTTCAGCTCTCTCCTTCCAGTTTCCTCAGTTGCACAAAACCCGGCCAGGCACGTTGAGCTGCGCCCCACTGAGGAAGCTCACAGCGCACCCTAAAGATCAAAGCCACAGATGTAGGGCTGCTCAGTGACGGCTGGAGGCTGGCTGAACTCTGCAGTTGAAGCCGTGAGTTCTCAGCCCTCCTCAGCACACTGTGCTCCCTGGGCCTCTCACAAAGGAGACTGGCAAAGAGCTCGTTATCGGGACCGCACTGAGGAGCACGGAAACATCTTTGGTAGTGGATGTGGTTTCCGTAGGCAGAAAGTACCTGAAAGGACTCCACGATGCTGGGGATGAAAGACCTGCTAAGGGACACCTCTGCCACTCTTTTCTGGGGACCCCGAGTCACCCGTCATGGAACCTGTGCGAGTCCTGGGAGGTAACCCTCTCTCTGCCAGGCCAGCAAGATCTTCCAGCAGGCAGGGGCAGGACATCTTTGTAGGAAAAGAAGTGTGGGTGGCTAGGAGCAGGGACCTTAGGAGAGGAATAGACGGAGGGGGAGGGTGAAGTCGGCCTGGCCAAGGGTGGGGAATTCCCGCCTGCCGCCTGTGCTGCACTGTAACCACGTGCCTCGGCCAAGGTCCTTCTCAGAAAATCGGTTTAAAACCAAGGGCGCATTTCGCGTGGTCCGGGAAATAAGCAAAGCAAAGCATTCTGCAGCAGTCCTGTGACCCGTCACTGAAGGAGCCCACGCACCCAAGCACGGCCCAGGGAGTCAGGAGGAGGCGGGCGAGTGGGCTGGTGAACTCTGGCTGTGCAGCTCCTCCTCTGCGTCCCAGCTCCCCTCTGCGCAGGGCACCATCCGGTGGGTTTTCTTTCTGCAGGAGTCTCATTCCCTCCTCACCTTTTCAGGTAGGGACGAGGAACATCCTACTAAACCACAAAGTAAGACTCTGTTTCCAAAGCAAAACAAAACAAAGACGGAAATAATACGTAAAGGGTAAATTGATAGCAAAATCAAGTATGCCAGAATTTCTCTTTCTTTTTGTCTTTCAGACAAGGTCTCATTATGCAGCTCAGGCTGGCCTTGAACTCTCTGTGTATCCTACACTGGCCTCAAACTCAAGGCGGTCAACCTGCCCCAGCCTCCTAAGTACTGAGATTGTAGGCATGGGCCACCACACCAGGCAAGAATTTCTTCAGAACACTCCGCAGTAGGCTGCCTGTAATAGTAGTGCTTGAAAGAGCCCAGGTCCTAATCCCTGGAATGTGTGACTATAACCTAACGAGGGAAAGGAGTCCTGTCCGATGTGATTGGGGACCTTGACATTAGGAGATTATCCAGGATTTCCAAGGGGGCCTGACGTCCAGTCCCAAGGGTCCTTCTAAAAAAAAGACAGAGGGCGATTAGACAGACACACAGGCGAGGAGAGGGCTGTGTGACCACAGAGGCCACAGTGGGAGGATGAGACCACCAGCCAAGGACTGCTGGGTCCTGAGGGCTGGGACAGGAGGAATTGGTCCCCTCTGGAGCCTTAGGTTTGGCCTTCTGCATCCTGCTGAGCTTCGAGGTGTCACTGCAATTTAAATATCTTCCTATCATCCTGATTAAAAATGTGTAATGGACCTCACTTTGTTTCTTGATCTTACTTTCTATTTTCCTAGGCTTTAAACACATCTCTTTACTTTTAGGAACAGTACCACCTGGAGAATTAGACCTCAGGTCTGAAGGGAGGCTGCGGGCTCTGGGTTTGTTTCCTGCCTGTCTCGGGGGCCTCCCAAGACTGGGCTGCACAGGGCATGGTGACTCGGGCTTCCATCTGCAGGCTGAGGTCTTCTGTGAAGCCCCCTCGGGGTTGATCATAAACCTCAGGGTTTTTATTTGTCTTTCCTATTGGTTCCCGGGTTCCTGAGAGTTGGTATCCTGGAGTTCATTTATTTTACAACTATAGAATAAGACTACAGAATAATGATATACAATAAATTTATGTGCATCTCGCTGGTACTTTTTGACATTTGTAGCGTCATCTAGAAGGCTTATTTTCCTGGTTGGGACATTTAAGTGTCTCGGGCACTCCAGACTGAGCCGGTTACTTGGTGATGTCCCTTTGTACAGCGTGGGGAGCACCCAAGGGAGGGCTCCGCTGCTACCCCACAAGCCCTGGACTCCTTGCAGGGTACACGGACTCCTGGCTGCATTCTCGGGATGACACTGGTTTTTAAAAAGTATGCAGTCGCTCTCTGCTCCTCTTCCTCCTCCTCCTTCCTGCACCTCCTCTTCCTACTTCTCTTTGCAGTGCTGGGAACTCAACCCAGGGGTGCTGTACCACAAGCCTACCCTAAGCTCCTCTCTCTCTTTCTCTCTCTCATCTAGCCATTTATTTATTTATGTTTGCTGTACTGGGGTTTGAGTCCAGGGCCTTCCCACTGGGCTGCATGCCTAGCCCTTTTTATTCTTTTCTGTTTTGAGGCAGGTCCTGC